AGATGTACAGGTCTCTGTTTAGGCAGAGGTTGTGGAGAGAGGCAGTCTTTTTCTTGGACAGACTTATGGAGTTGGAGAATGCTCACAAGCTTTTGGCATACAAATCCTTCCTAGACAGAACAGTCAAATGTTCAGTTGATTCAGGAAACCTTTGAGGTTCTTTGTTAGCAGGAGCAACTGTGGAAGATTTCTTGTCTTTGGAACAAACTGTCCACCAAAATAATGCATTAGAAATGAGAAAGTGATTAGCAGCAAGATACACAGGGCAGCCAGGGGACTTGTGCAGATGCCCAGACAGGTTTAGGACAGTATATGAAATAGAAATTTATATCATATAGCTGGTATCAAAGTTTTGACAAGGAGCCATATGCTGGACTGCATCTGGTGTATAGACAAGAGAAAAATAGACTTAATAATTTCCCAAGCAAAATTAATTTATGCCTTCACATGGGCAGAACACAACAAGCAAGGCAGACCTCTGTGTAGAGGCCATCTACTGTGAAGAAAAGCAGTGGCAAATTAGCCATATATGGGTATGGTATGGGAGCTAGCTTTAACTTACTTGAACTGGCCCAGAAGCTCCTGATTGCCTTCTCAGAGATTTTGGAATATCAGGGTATTTTTTGATGCCAGAGGGGGGTGCTTTAGCAGCTGTTCAGAAGAATGAAGAGCCCTGTGTGGTTGTTGCAGCTGCTTCCCTCCCCTTTCCTCCTGGAAACAGCCATTGGAGCAGTTGTGACAAGGACAGCAGCCAGTCTCTGCAAGCAGACTCTGCTTCCTTCTGGGACAGAGATAAAATGTCTAAATCCAAAAAATACTCCTAAAATGTCAACAGATGAAGGGAAAGAAACACCGAGAAGAAAGATTAAAATACCTGACTGATTTTATTGAGTTAGACTATCAGGACAGTTGTCTGAAGTTTCTCTCCCACAATACTCTAGAAGCAAGTAATAGACAGCCAGTAGGTGTCAAGTTAGCTGCTGCTGAAGACAAGGAACAAGACAAGTCTGCTTGAAAAGGAATTGTTTTTCAGTCTGGTATCTGAGACACCCTTTGTTCGGTCCCTTGGAGCTAGGTAATGAAAGAAAAACTAAATGTATTGAAACAAATCTTGCTTTGCCAATTGTTGTGAAGAAGAGACAACCAGCACTCCTCAACGGAAGGCTGAATCAACTTTGTTCATTTCTTGCTCTCAGAGGAAGCCAGGTGGAAGGACTAGGTAAATAACTATAATTAAACTCCACCCATCTTCAAAAGCAGGTGAAGAGATCATAATTCATGAAATAAATCTGTACAATTAGGCAACATTAATACAATTAGAAGCTGAACACTGAATGATTAGTAATTCATGAATAATGAGCTAGTATCCACTCACAAACCTCAATGAGAAGATCCAATTTATATTGGCTTTGTGATGATTATCTTTTTCAAACCTATATCTCTAAGCAGAAAGGAATTTAGACACCTCATAAGAAAGAGCATGAATTTCTCTGAGAAATGCCTTTGAAAATATGAGCAACACTTCACTTTCATACTCATATGGCAATATTATGTGGGATTTTAGATTTTTGGGAAGTTGTGTGGATTTGTGGTGTTTTTTTTTTTTTTTTGTGTGTGTGTATTATTGCAAAGTAATAAGTTTACTGTCTGTATTAGGATCCCAAAAACGTTTTGTTTCTTTGAGCTCTTTCTGGAGGCTTAGCCAATAACATGAATGTCCCTATCCAGTCAGACAAAAAGTTGACTTGTTTCAGGAGCCCATCTTCAACAGTTGTCAATAGGTGATGCCAAGGAGAAAAATAGACATCCTGAGGCAACACACTCTGCCTTTATATTCAGTCTATAATCAATACTGTGAGACTTTTTTTTTTTTTAACTCATAGAACACACTCAACAAAACACCAAAAGGCCCAATAGTTTATGCTCTAAAAAGGAATCTTTAAGAAGATATGGTGTGTACAGGTGTAAATAACTGGGTAGGCCAGATTATCAGGTGACCCTGATTTCAGCAGGTAGAGACTTCTTGAGATCCTGAAAAGAGTGTCCAGTGCATGTTTCCACAAAGGACACATGTGCCAAGTCAACGGAGATTGCTAGAACTAAAGCAAACATGTTTCCACTTCAGTGGAAAGATGCTGTCCACATGTTCTAGCATAGGTGGCTACTACATAAATGTGTAGTATTCCAGCTGTAAGAGAGTGACAGCAGGCACTGTGCAAACACTGGAAGTCTGATACATGGGGAACTGCATTAAAACACTGACTTGAGAATTTGTTGTATTTCCTGTATGCTGTACAAACTGCTCCTCATAAATACCCTTCAGAGCCACCTGTACTTTTCTTGGAAGAGGAACATGAGAACAAAGCAACAAACCTTCTCACTTTTGTTGTTTTAAATATTTTCCTTTATTACCTCTGGCATTGGTTTATTGCTTTACCTTCATGCATTTACCAAATTCTGCCCATAAACTGCTTGGGCATGAATGGTGTTTCCATAAATTTCACTGTATTTATTGAGCTATGCATGTGATCATCTGCAGAACAGACAATTATTATGATTGCAACAGCCAGGTGTGCAGGATTAACCAGTCAGAATGAGAAAAGTCAGCTACATTTTTTTTTCCTAATATATATTCTTGACTAATATCAAGTGCTTTCTGAGCCTTTGGTGAGTGAGTGAGACTGCAGGGAATTTTGATCTTCTAAAACATTCACATCTCAGAGTTATGAATGGACAAAGGGATGGTTTCTAAAATGGGAAACTTTAGAAGAAAGAAGAAAACTTTATCTGACTGATAAGTCAGGATACTTTGTCTCTTAACCAATTTGAGTTTGATTGAGGAAAGTTTGCCATTTTAGCTCACTTAAGAGAGTTTGATGCTGAGGGTTTGTGTGTTTGTTTTTTAAGCTTTCACTTTCTTTTCTGTGATTTCTGGTATTCTTCTGTTCTGTTTGGGGTGGGATTTGGTAAAAATGGCTAAGAGTCTTCAATAGCACAAGCTCTCATGCCCCAGATTTATTTAGAGCACTTGGAAAGTTCCTGTTCTAGGTGTCTTGGTTCTCTGCCTGTGAAATAGTAATAGACTGTCCCATCAGGGTGGTGAGAGAATGAATGAATTTGGTATTGTGTGATCAGTGACTCTGTTGAGATGAGGTCTGGAGTTTTATATTACCATGTACTCTACGTGTAGAAGTCATTATTATGGATGTATTTATCTTATTTTTATATTACTTATATAGTAGGTTGATGGATCAAAAATAAACCTTGTGATGGAATATCATAAGGTGCTGCTTACTGATTTAGCTGAAAGGGATAGTTTAGCTATAAGGTTATGCTAGGCAAGGCTAGCAAAAATCTGAGCATGGGTTCCTTTAAAAATGAGATGACATTATTACAAGTGTTCTTTAAACCTAGGAATTACATCATGCATTATGGAAAATACAGATTAGGAAACTAAATGTGTTTGATTTTGGTGTTAATGCTGTAATAGGTAGTTGCTTTAACATTGCTGTAACCTGTTACTTGTGGTTATGAGTAATAATTGTTCTTTAAAACATTACAAAACTATTAATGAGTATTAACCTTGTGTACACTAATTTTGACATTGATGCTTGCTAAATGAGGGTAGTGCTTGTGTGAATTTGCACATAGGTATAAAGCATCAGAGCTGAAGATTACTGGGAGAAAAAGTGTCATTTTTCTTGTATATATTGCAAAGTGGGAGGTGCCAGACAATAGGTGTCAGCACTGGTTCAGCTATGCACAACTTCACTGCAAGTGTAGATTAAGGCAGCTGGTTGTTAAGCACTGAATGCCTGTAAAGAAGTGCTGAAACAATGTCTGACACTTGTTACAAACCAGCTTTTCTGGGGGATGGACTGGGAGATACAGTGCATGAGTCAGAAGACAAAAACTGGTTAAAATAATGTAAGTATTGTGTTCACTGTGACTTGTTTTCAAAATACTGAAGGAAAGACTGTTTCTGAAAATTGTCATTTAACTAGGTTTTGTTGTTTTGTGAATTGTTCGGAGAGGTTCCTGGGAGGGAGACTTTGATATAGTTGAAGAGGGAAAGCAAAATCACAAGAATCAGAATGGAGCAGACAGGATTGACTACAGTGCTAGGAAACTTCCTTGAGACCTTAGAATTCTGCTGTTTTGTGGAGGAATTTTAATCTGGAACTAGGGGTTTAGATATCTTATTGGTGAAACCAATGCATGTCATATCTAGGGGCCTATTGATGATTCCACAACAACTTTGGAAGAAAAGCCAGGAAGACTGGCAAAATGTGAAGTTGTATGATGGTGAAGCCACAAGAAATCCCCACCAAGAAAATGAAAGACAAACCATTCTTCAAAGAATGGATTTTACTCTGTGTTTTGCTGGCAATATGCACCTAAGATCCAGGATGGAGGATTAAGCCAAAAGAAGGTAAGCCTAAATGCTTTAACAACCCAGTGAAAATAGTGTGGTCTTACCCTAGCACCTCTTTTGAGGTGCTGGATCAGAGTGTCAGTTCTCTAGAATTGCTTTTATCTGCACAAACACGTCTGTTTAAATTATGTCCTCAGTGGTGGAGGGTACATAAAACTGTAAATAAAAATAGTGAAATAGTCTTGCAGTCAGTCTACTAGCAGATGTGTGTGAATCAAGGATTCTTTTAAATAAGCAAGTGCTGTCATTAGAGATGGCTGCGTGGTGAATGCCAGGTGGATGGTTAGGCACGGAGCAAGAGAAACAAGTTTTTTCTTTGTCAATATTTGGTGAGGGATAGTTGGGAGAACCCCCTCCCTCCCCAGAGTTTGCGTTGTATTGCACAATACTGTGAATCCTAGCAGCCCTCGCAGTGGCACACTGCAAGTGCCCCAAGCCTGGCAGTGTAATCTAAAGGGAACACAGTTGAATTGAGATCTCTTGCTATATAAAAGGGGGCGTGTCACTCTGCTTGTTCCAGCTCCTTTTCTGTCATTACAGCTGCAGGAGCACCAACCAAATGCAGCTGGCACGCCTCTCCATTACCTCTTATATAATGTGGGGTTTCACAGGGCACTGATGTAGAAATAAAGTCATTCTTGTGGCAGAGTCATATTACTTGTTGTATTGCTGGTGCTCACTTCACTGTGGGGTGTAGGGCTGCTCTCAGAAGGGTGATCTTGTGGCCCTATTTGAGTGAATTTTGAAAGGTGTGCAGGATGGCTCCAAACGAGGCAGGGGATGAACTTGTTTTCTTTGTGAATGGTAAAAAGGTAAGGAAGATTCCAGCTTTCTGTCCAGCTTGCTCCTGGATTGTGGCTTGATTACTATTTTTCTAGCCATCTTTTTCCTCCTCTGAGGTTTTCTAATACCAGCACATATGCCATGGCATTTAAATATTAAATTGTGAAGATTATGTATTGCTTTGCTAAGTGGCTTTTTCTCTTCTTTGACTTTACTTTGTGAATTATTCAAAGAGTAACACAACTATATAATGGTCCTTTTACATTTTAGATTTATTTGCAATAATTTACTGCAATTCTGAGGGAACTGCTTTTAAATAATGGTGCACTGACTTAGTACAGGCATTCCTACTAGAAATAATGTCAGTAATTACAACAGATCTGGAAAATGTAACTCAAATGTAAGCATCCATATATAATTCATATGTTCAGTAAATAATTCTGACATTTGATTTTTCTAAAAAGGATTTAGTAAAATGTTTATTCCATTTCCATTTAAGAAGTTAGAAAAGTCTTCAGAATCAAAGCCCATTAGCTGATACTGATTCCTAGATCAGCTGCTGACAATAACCCAAGAAGTGACTGTCTCACAGGAGAGTGGAATGGCCCTTGCATATGATGGACATATTTGAACAGTTTGTCCCCTTTTTCAGTTTGGACTTTCCCTGGTCAGCATTGCAGCCTTGACTCTTCAAAAGCTTGTAACAAGTCAAGGCTGCCTCTTTCTTCGAACTAATGAGTACCAAGTTTGTTCTGTTTCTGACTTTGATGATCCTAGTGGGTCCCTTAGGATATGGCTCCATCCATCATAGAATCAACCGGGTTGGAAAAGACCTCCAAGATCATCAAGTCCAACCCTATTGTGGTTACTAGTCAATCCACTGCAAAGAATGTGATAGCACGGCCAGTGAGAAAGGTTACTGCTGTGTGAATTTGTGACAGCTCAACATTGCTAATGGGCTGCTGGTATTCTGTCCTAGTACAAAACAGTGTGGTAAGAGATGGTTTGTAAGATAGAGACTTAGGTGGCAGCAAATCCTTCTCTCTTGCATTAGCCCAGTCTACACTGTTGTCGAGAAAAAGTGTCCTTGCACAGCTGAGCATACTTAACATTCAGGATTGTTTATTTTAAGCACCTGTTTACTTCACTGGGCATAAAATGTGGCACACAACTAACTCAAAGTTATCATAATAGTCTGCCAAGACTAGAATGGAAAACAACACGCTCAATTTAAAACTAATAGTGGCAATTTTGTTTACCTCAGCTGACATGTCTGTCTCATGCATTTGTAGCATGTAATTTTAGTTCAAACACATGGAGTCAGTATTTCTATTCTGAATGCTAAGAGGAGTTCTACGCTTGAAGCCACATTAGACCTCTTCCAAAGTCTGACTGCAGATGGAAGCAGTCAAAATACAGATTTTATTTTTGAGTTTTGGAACCCTTTGGGTTCTATGTAACCGGTGAATGACAAGTTTTCAGTGTGCTGGTTTAAAGCAGAGCAAAATGTTCTCAGGACCAATAGCAGATTTACATTGTGTGGTTATATTCAGTTTTTTCATCTGTGTTCTAGTCCTTTTCCCTAGTAAATGAATTTGAAATCTCTCACTGACTTCAGGAGTAACACATTCACAGATTATAAGGTCCTAGAGAACCTTTACAGTTGACTGTCTGACTTTCTGTGTGGCAGACAAGTTAAAACCTTTTATTTTCTCTTCTTGCAAGTAATTGAGTGACTACAGACTTGTGACTGAGTGGGAGCTTGTTCTTCAGGACAGTGTCTGTTTCTCACATGTAGAACTGAGCTGGTGGAAAGCTTAGCATATTCGTTGGTAAACTAGGAGAATTTTTGTTTTATTTTTCTTTCTGTCCCTCTATTTACCTTGTTCAACTACTGGTCTTTAAAATAGAAAAAGCTTTCTTTAACTTTCTGGGAATCCTAATTTAAATATGACATTCTATGTTGTAAAGGCAAAGTTATCTGAATTTGTGAAAGGCAGGTAGAGAAGTCAGAAAACAGAATATTTATTGAGATCAAAGTTTTATACTTGAAATTATGGGGAAGTGAGCTCAACTCCTCTCTGGAGTAGCCCATGGGTTCTAAAAGTGTAGACTACTTCTTCAGAACCTATTCCATGTAGCACTTAAAAGCTTGGAGAACTGTAGAGCGTGGCTGGGCTCCCTGCTAAGGTAGATCTGAGTACTTAAGATTCCTAGAATCAGTAGACAAATAGACCTGTAGTACAAACACAACAGTAGAGAGCAAATTTGTTGAGAGTCATTTGACTGTCGGTGCCGTCCTAACATTTCCAACAAAGTTTCTTTCTGCATTTGATTAATATTTAAGCTACTGCAGGCAGTAAAATCCAGTTTGAATCTTCAGAAATGTAGCAGTCAGCCTGATATACCTGCAATATAACATTTGATTTAAAAAAAACAAAACAAACCATCAAACACTAAAAAACACTGACTGACCAAAAAAGAAATATTTCTGTAACTGCAATATCTAGGTAGTCTGATCCTGTTCCCATGAAAGCAATTGATATAATTCAGTTTATTTCTGTACAAAGACACTGGGGAAGTGAGCAAGGATTGTGATATTGAGCTGTGAATCATATTATACTGGGAATCAGACAAGAGAAGATGTTATCCCCACCCATGGGGTTTTAAAATATTTTAAGAACAAATCACAGCAGGTGATTGCAACAAACCACTGGAGGAATTACATGTTGGAGGATACACCAGCACCAATGACAATGAACAAAAGGCATTTTGTAAGGCAGTAAAAAATTCTTACTTTGTGCCCAGCAAGAGAGACTCATAAAGAAGCATTCTCCTACCAGGAGTCTGAGTGCAAAGAAATCACTCCTTGCTCTCTGATGTGTGAGATCTGTTAATCCAGAATGTCCTCCAAACTCTTATCCCTCATCTTCCTCTGATCCCTAATATCTGGCAGCATTGCAGATATTCAACTACAGTGGAATAGTTTGAAGTGGCTGAAGTAGCAATCCAGGGCTCTTGTTTTGAACAGATTAAGAGTATGGATTGTTCAGGACATGGTCTTCTGCATAGTGGGAGCCACTTTCTGATAAAGCTGAGCAAAGGTTTGATTTTGAGACTTAACATGTGCACTGAAAATGCATGAACTTGGGTGACTAAAGGCTTTACTGAATGATGGCTTAGGCCTGAATTTTATTTCTTACTTCCTGAAAAGAAGCCAGTGGCCAAAATTTTAAGTGGTTGTTTTGAGTATATAACAGAGCACTGCTTGGATTCTTTCAAGAAAACCTCTTGGGTTTTTTGGTCTAGGTATAGAATAACCTCAAAAGTCTTTAACCATTCTGAAGATTTTTCTCTGTGCCTGGCTATCTTGGAAGCTGCTTTGAAAGGGTTTGCAATGGCCATGAGCACAGATATGAGGAAGAAACTCAGCATGACAGTGATGGTAGGAGTTTCTGGGGAAGGCTTTTTGCCTGTGAAATGGCTCCGGAAGGCCTTTTGTCCATGAAACTCTTGTAGTCACAGGTATTTTTGGAATTATCTACTCGTGTCTGTTTGCCAAACTGCTGCAGAGAGATGTATGGCCTTAATCTGAGCCAATGCATGCTCTTATTTGTTTCTGTGCAGGGAACAGGAGCATTCTGCTCTGAGTAGCAGCAATGAGTGCTGCATGATTTACAGGAAGACATTCCCAGTCTAGAACAATGAACTCTGTCCTCTTGTAGATTAACCTCAATGCAGGAATGAGACGTATAAAAAATGACCAGTTGTGTTTTGTAGCAACAGCTTTATCAGATAATTCTAATAAACCTTGACCCTTTAGAATAACCTTGTCACGTGACAAAGACATAAAATTGAAGCAGTACAGAGGTTGCGAAGGTTTGTAATCAGTAAAAAAAAAAAAGGACTTGCACAAATTAACCTCTGCTTCAATTTGCCCCCCAAACTGGGAGTGATTAATTTCAACAAACTGTAACTATTGTACTTGGGACTTCATAACATAAGAGCCAAGAATACAGGACTACATTCTGGCACAGAGTGAATTTGACACTTTATTAATAACAGAAAAAGGGGAAGACAAGCTCTGTGGCCATTTAGAAGCAAGGGCAGAACTTTGGTTTCTGACCGCTGGGCAGAGGTTGAAGTAAAATGTAGTTTTATGTCTAATGGATAACTGGTAATAGTGTTGTTTACTAATAGGATGGAGCTGGCTCAAAATGTGCAGAGAAAATTCCTCCTTGCTTGGAGTTTCATAGTGCTGCATTTAGGATGGCTTCTAAAGGAACACTGATTCAATGCTACAAGGGAAGAAAGAAAAACTTCAAGAGGATTGGCACTTGTTGTTCATCCTGCAGCACCTGTATTGTCACATTAGGGTTTCCACTGCTGTTTTTTATCTCTGCAAAGTCTATTACTGATACAGTTTCTGTCATTCTGTTTATCTGCTCATTTTCTCTGTCTCTTCTAATAGTAAGACGAAGGGGCAAAGTTCAGTTATGCATGGTCAGTAAAGATGAGATGCCATTTGGTGGTATGCCACCAGCTCAAAACTTGAGTACAAAACACACTTCTTTCTCTGATGACTACTAATTCTGTTTGCCATTTTTGATGAAGAGTTTTTTTAAATTTGCCTCAGCATGCAAGACTGAAAAACTCTGATGTATGTAATGCACATACTTTCCTCCGACACAATGAATTCAAGGAAACTTTGTGTTTGTATATGTGACCAACACTGCAGAATTAATCAGTAATTTTGCTCCCTGCTTGCAGAAAGACCAAGCTTTCTTCTATCAACTAATGTATCTATCATGTAAAACATTCTCTGTGTAACAGTACCTTTCCCTTCTTGCAGGTGGTAGAAAAAGATGTGGACCCAGAAACAACTCTGCTAACCTATCTACGAAGAAAATGTATCCAGTGCCAGAAGAAGCTGCACAAGACTTTAAATGCCTATAGCATTTCATAATTGTTTACTGTTCTGTCTGTCACTTGAGTGTTAGGCAGAGCTTGCGCACAGAGTATAAGAGGGAGTGCTCTGCATGATCTGGTGCTTCTTGCTAGCAAAGATTACGGCTGGTATTCCAAGCTTAAACAGTAGCAAATTTGAAATAATATATTTTAAATAAACTTTAAATAATTTATTAATACTTCAAAGGAAAAACTCTTGGAATTTCTAGAAATTGGAATATTCTAGACAGAATGCAATATTGAGATGACAATAAAATTGAAAGAAATTTACGTTTGTTCCACACAAACTGTAAAGAATGTTCCGGCCAAAATATCACAGCCATTTGACCTGTTTGCTGTATCATCCAATAATTTGGATACTGCTGGGTAGCTAATATTCTGTAAATTGATAATTCTGTAGCTTGTTTATCAGATGACTCAGGGAGGCAAGCACAGAACTAGGGGTTCCCCCCACGTACCGTGGGCATGTTTACATGAACAGATGCAAGCAGTCACGTTTCACTCTCATTTGAAACTTGTCAACACATGAGTCAGATTAACTTCAGGAGCTGGGTAGCTATTACTGTGATGACCAGGCTGGCTATACTAGGTCTGGTTCAGGAGGTAGTGTCATTCCACCATTCCATGTATTCTGAGATTTTGTCTGGCCAGCTGGGTATGTACGTATGCCGAACTGTTCACATCTGTGTTGGTGTCTTCCCTGAAAAACTCGTGCATGTTGCTGTGTTCTTTTCACCATGCTGCTATGTTCTGTTTGTCTGGGATCTGAAGGAAGCATGGGGACATGCACCGCATTCCTCTTTGGGGTTTCCAGCAGAACTATCAACAGTCTTATTTATCTGAACATATCTTGAGTGGGTAAAGGTCAAGGGGAAAAATAAATGGCATGATTCTTGTGCCTGTGTGCCCTTCTTACCACTAAAACTTTTGTGTCTAAGCTTGTTGATATTCAATGCAAAGAGCTTTGTAAAGAGATAATCAGAGCTCTTCAAAAGCTACTGATCTTCTACATGAGCATTCTGGTTAATTTATTTTGTAAATGTCTAGTTAGGGTCAGTAAGTACTTTGAGAAATATACTTTTTTGAGGCAGGTTAGCACTGTTGTCATGAGAAACATTGGATGGCGTAGGAAAGCTGTATTTCTTCTCATGCAGGCACATGATTGTATGAAAAGCAGACACAGTACTTAAGAACATGGTTTAGCGGTAGAATTGGCAGTGTTTGGTTTACAGCTGGACTTGGTGATCTTAAAGATCTTTTCCAGCCTAAATGATTCTATGGTTTTTATGATTCTTTGAAAATGGTCAGTTCCAGAATCTTCGCAGTGAAGGCAAGGGTGATTTGAGTTCCCTATATCACAGTGCCTATTGCTTTTTCCAGCCTAAGCTGATTATTTCAACACAGGCATGTGTCCATTGCCAATGAAATCAACTGGGTTTTTTTCCCTGCACCAAAAGACTCTCAGCATTGTCCAATCCTCTTTGCAATAAATAACAGCTACAATTTACCTTCTAATGAGTGAAGGAACCCAAAGCAGAAGTGATTCAAGGAATTCTCTCCTGATATCCCTTTGCAAAATATTTGATGTAATGTGTAATTGTAAAGTACAGACATGATCTCTGCAGCCTGTGGAGAAATCTGCTTAGGCCAGTCCATATGCTCTGTGGGGTCCCAAGTGTCTTTGCAGTGATTCTATGCATCTCCACCAGTTCTGGCTCTCGGTGTGTCCCTCCTATGGTTTTAAGGGGACCTGGCTCCTGGGGACTGTGCTTGGCTGGTTTTGTCCCCAGCAATGGGCAAGCCATCCTAAATGGGACCAAGAGAGAAGTTAGGGTAGCCAGACCATGAGTTTTGAGATGCAGATGGTTTGTGAGCAGTTCAAGTGCAGCTCCCATGTCAGTGCTAAACTGTGTGACTTCTAGCACATAGTGACTGCCCTGCCTGGGAGCCTTCTAGGTGGTAGGAGCCACCAGGTGTAGGAAGAAGTCAACCACCACCAGTGAGAGGTGCTGAAGTAGGTGTCATCATGTGGTTCAGGGATGTGGATGCATGCCTGAACAGCTCCTGCTCAGCAATTACCAAATGTTTTATCTCCCTTATGTCATTTCTTTTTCTGAGTAATGAAAAATAGGAACTGCTAAAGTTCAACATTCTTTTTGTTTATTCTAAGAGTCTGTTGGAACATGGGCTGTGTCCTTATTAGGGCTTTGGGTGTTCATCTCAAACTCACGTGCCAGCATTTGAAACTTTACTTATGTGAAATAATTAAGCAGAAAAACAAGTGCTTTTTTTCCAGCAAGAACTTGTTGCTCAGCCTTGATTGACAACTTAGGCAGGTTTCTGCCAACACTTTTCATGTTTTCCTTAATTCCTGTTCTCTCAGTGGGCATGTGTGGAACCAAACTAGGCTGTGGAGAAGGTGGATGTGGTGCTTGCACTGTTATGATATCCAAGTATGATCCCTTTCGGAAGAAAATCCTGTATCCTTTGCAATCTGAACTCTGCAACGGAGAAATGAAATGGGGACAGATTCAGGTTCTTCACATTCCAGATACGTTACTAGTTTTTTAAAAAAAGTTATATAATGTATGTTTCTGCCAAAACATAATTTTTCACTGTCAGAACATAAACTCAGAAGGCTAAGACAAGAAAGTATTTTTTCTTAAATTGTACAGGGCTGATAGGGAATTAGTTAATTGTGTCCTGCAATATCTGTGCTCATTCTAGCATGTGGGCCATTTCCCAGTTCAGAAATCCTCTCACAGTCTAATGTAGCTTTTTCCTGTGATGATCCAAATGATGATTACTGTGATAAAATCTTTATTATTATTGTATTACTACAATAATCTGGTTTTCTGTATGCTAGAAGATATTAACTTTTCTCTCTACTTGTATTGTAACCTTCAGAATTACTCTTCTTTCCTGAGAAATAAACTCTCCTGCTCTCACTTCAGTTAATCGAAGGGTGAAGCAATGAAATCAAACAAAAAGGCAAATGGAAAGAGAGGACTGGGCAGAGAGACAATTCCCAGTTTATTTTTAGTGTGGGGAGTAGAAAGCACTGAAATGTTGGATATATTTGGAATAATGCTTGGAGACACTTTAACTTGGGAACATCTGACTAGTCATTCTGCTTTATAGCGTGGCCTTAAACAGGATATCTTTAGGGTCATTATTCTCTCTTGATTGAAATGAAATAAAGCAGTTGGTTCCTATAAGAATTTTGTCGACATTGCTCTATTTTACCTTCAGCCTAGACTTTTCCCCCATGTGTACCATCTAGAAACTGCTTTCTAGATAAATGGCCAAGAGCTCCATGCTCTTAGCTAACTTTGTGAGTGGCCAGCTGTGTAATATCTTGGTATTTGCAGTCTGTCCTATAAATTACTTACAGAGGTTCTGTGGCTTACCATATCACTAGGATGCTTAAAGTTGTTATTTCTAGGCCAAATTCTATGGCATATGCTCAATTTAAACTTCAAGTGAAGCTGGTAACTTTGGATGACTAGGTGCTGTAGGATTTGGCTTGTAACAAATCCTTGTATCAAACCTATTTAAGTTCTTCTGTCTACTGCTACAGTTTCTGAGTTCTGTTCAGTCCTTCTGTTCATTTTTGCTCTTGCTGAGCAGCACTGTCAAATGAAATCACCTTAATTTATAATTTTAGCCACTTTACTGCCAATGCTTGCCTCTTCCCTGTTTGTGCCCTGCATCATGTAGCTGTAACTACTGTTGAAGGCATAGGAAACACAAAATCCAGGCTGCACCCAGCCCAGGTAAGTTAATAATACTGGTAACTTTAAAACCCTCTATCCGTGTTTTGTTAGTTAATCCTATTAGAATGTTGTGACCTCCATCATAATGTTAAAGCCAAGACTAACTTCCACATGAGTAGCCTGTACTTGCAGGGATGACTAAGTGACAGAATCAAACTCCTGGGTCAGTGCTGCAGCTCTGTTATGCCCTAACAAGTTAGCTGGTGCTATCCTGGCTTAATTGCAAATGCATTTGTTCTAGGGCTACATGTCTGTAATTGGTCCACATCCTGGACTGGCAAGAGTGATGCTGTGGGGAAAGTCAATATAATGACTTGGAGCTAGGAAATCTGAGATACTTCCATGGCCTTCTCTGAAATACCTTGGTTTCTCATCCTGCATAGTTAGGAACCTTCCCTGCAGTAGTGAAGTAAAGTTTGGTTCAGTGATGTTTCTGGAGTCCCAAAATATTCTTGGTGGGGAGGAGTGACAGGAATGTGAAGCCTTGTTCTTCTTGCAAGGTGCTATAATGCAGACTTGGCTCAGCTTTGTCAGAGATCCTCCTCCCCCGAGGTAAACTGTGATTCATCTCGGTTTGCGCAGTGGGTAGGATTTGTGCCAATATCTAACCAAGACAAGTAAACGACAAAGTGCAAATTAGATGTGCATGAAGGAATGGCAGCCAAGTTTGACCTTTGTTTTTTCTTCTTCTTTTCCCTACTTCCCCTGAAGATTCTGGCAGCTAAGCTTTTGAAATTTAAACTCAGGTCTATACAGTTAGCCCCCACTTTCCTAGTATGGTAAATCTGAAGGACTCCTGGTCTCACTGGAGGCTTCTAGTCATCTTTAGTTGCATTGTGAGTTCAAAGCCTAGGTGCAAATTTATCAGACTGTTCTCTTCTTTGAAATCTGCTTTAGTGACTAACTGACCGTCTCATCAGAGTATATCCGATGATAATCTTAGCTCCTCTGGTGAGATTGTGTGTTGTTTTGTTTGTTGGGTTTGTTGTTTGTTGTTTTTTTTAAGAAAGATGTTACAGAAACCAGCACAACAATAAACTCACCTGGATATTATGGGCTAATGGTTGTGTTTACTTTTTCTCAGGAGAGAATAGCAAAAAGTCATGGGTCTCAGTGTGGCTTTTGCACTCCAGGCATTGTCATGTCCATGTATACATTGCTTCGGAACAACCCTGAGCCCAAAATGGAGGACATAGAAGATGCTTTCCAAGGTAACACTCATAGCCCTGCAGGGGTGCAACCTATTCTGCTTTCATTATGTTTCATATTTGATTATGCCCCTTCACCAAAGGGCTTGGAGGTGCAGCTTTATTTAAAGGTAGTCGATTGTTATGTGGTTGAGAATTAGCTTTTCCACTAGGAGACTAGTCAGGTGATATGAAGTGAACAAAAATGGCCTGTGGAAGATCTCACAGATCATCATTGTTTGTCCATAAGCTGGGGCAAGTGGCCTCAGTCTTGGATTACGAACTCACGAACCCACTAAGCTTAACTCAGAATAAAATGTGGCCTGTTCCTGTGGGGCAAATAAGAGCCCCCACATCTCCTTGTTTATTCATTGCTGTCACAAGAGCCTACAGAGGTGACAGAGAACATGTGGGCCAGGCAACCTCAGGTAAAGGACCAAGACAGCAATACACATCATGACATGGGGAGGTTAGAGTCGTTACTGTGTTTCCAGCAGTGACCCAAGAGGAAATCAGATGTAGGAGAAAGCAATCTGTATATAATTCAGGAGATGGAATAGTTTATATACTGACTAGACTCACAATTGAAGTGAATGAATACTGAATAAGGCAGATTGAATTTGTTCTGAATGAATTTCAATTTAAAATTTCAACAGAAAGGGATAGTAGGATTGTTGCAAGGTTAATAATGAAATTTTACTTCTCCCAGTTTCTTTTTCAGCTTTATCTAGATTTGACAAGCTTTTGTGAGAACCAGTAAAATGTTCTAAAAGGAGATAAGTTTTTAGCCAAATGACACTAAATTTTTATTCTTTTGCTCTGCAATGCAGGAAACTTGTGTCGGTGTACAGGCTACAGACCCATTCTGGAAGGATACAAGACATTTGCTAAAGTAAGTGGCTTCAGATAATGTTTAAAAAAACAAACTGGTAGGCTGTCTTTCTCTCTGTTACTGAAATACACCTTGACTTGAAATGGGAAGGAAGGAAATACACATGCTATAAAACCCAGCTCTGACTCTTGACCCATTTGTATGTGCATCATGCAATTATAATGCAGAAAGATCAAATCCTTTACTCACTGCAGTTGCTGGAAGAGGAACACTTGAATAAAATCTGCCTGATGATCCCTTTTTGGATCACAGGTAATCAGACCCTGTAAATCTGGTCTGTAAATCTCTGCATAATACAGCTTGCAGATGACCTCTGATGTGGAAAAAGTGTAAAGGTATGGTGCACTGATAGGGACATGCTGTGGAAGAATCTGATGAGGAAGTTGCTTTCTTGAAAGATCAGCTGCAGAGTTGCAATAGCTCTGAAAAGAAGTTGAAGTTACTGCTGTATAGCTCTTGCCCAGGATTCTGCTGGTTTAGGTGAGGTATGAAGCTTTCCCATAAATTTTCATCTAGTCCCTTTGTTCCTGAAAGACTGCTGAAGGCTGTGAAGAAAAGTAGATAATTAGGTACTTTAGTGATTAGTAGCCTCTTATGGGGCTACACTGGTATTAAATATCAAAAGGTAAGAATTTAGAATGCTGCCCATTAACTTCATTTCATTCTCCAGAATTGCAATGAACAAAAGAGAATCCAAGCAGGAAAATGAGATCTGAAAGGCTAATAAATCCAGTTTATATAGTCTACTTGGATTTCCAACAGGCTTTCAACAGTGTCTCACCAAAGGCTTTTAAGGACAATAAGCAGCCATATGGGGTAAGAGGGAAGATCTCTATATGGATGAAAGATTAGCTAAGAGGCAGGGAGTGGCAGGTAGGAGTAAATGGTGTATTTTTGCAGTGGAGGGAGGTCAGTGTTGGAGTATAAATCCAGTTTATATAGTCTACTTGGATTTCCAACAGGCTTTCAACAGTGTCTCACCAAAGGCTTTTAAGGACAATAAGCAGCCATATGGGGTAAGAGGGAAGATCTCTATATGGATGAAAGATTAGCTAAGAGGCAGGGAGTGGCAGGTAGGAGTAAATGGTGTATTTTTGCAGTGGAGGGAGGTCAGTGTTGGAGTTCTGCTGGGAACTGTGGTGGGAGAAAGGATGTTGAAGGTATCTCTAAATGCTGTGGCAAAGACCGTGAGTAGTAATGTGAGAAAATAAGTTAACATATATCAAGTTAGTCTGAGTAGTGAAAGCAGGAACAGACTTTAAGGAATTTCAGAAGGATTTTATGAACCTGAGAGATAGGAGAATAGAATGGGATGCAAAATTCAGGGTAAATAAATGCAAAGCAATTTACAGAAAGGCACTGAGTCCCCATTTCACGTATAAAATGGTAGGCTGTGAGCAGACACAAGTTTACTACGCAGGAAGATGATCTTGGAGGTCTGGGAGACAGTTCCATGGAAGCATCAGCTCAATGCTCACTGGCAGTCAGGACACCACTTTCAAGGGTAGAGAACAAAACAGGAAACATTGCCATGCTTCTGTATGTATCATGGCTCTTCCTACACTTCCTGTCCAGTTTTGGTCCTCTCATCTCTAATAGGGTATAGCAGAACAGGAGAAAATTCAGAGAAGTGGAAGAAGGATCACATCTGTGGTAATCTGACTTTCATATAGGGAAGCACTGAGTAGTCTGGGCAACTTCAGCCTGGAAAAGTGATGTCAGGGAGAGGAAGGAGCTCCACATAGCCCATATAGTGGTTTCTGTTGACCTCTGATGCAGATCTACAGAATTGTGTACAGGCATCTGCTGTTTGCTGCCTCTCCCAATAAAGGAGCATTTCAAGAAATGAAACTAGTAGGAGTCAGATTGTAAACAGAGGGAGGTAGTCTGCCATGTACCAGGTATCTCACCTGCAGAACTCACCAAGTGTGTGGTGGGTACTAAAAGCACAGGCTTCAGGGGAGATACTTAACAGAGAGCTACTAAGGGTTACTGAAGAGAAAGAAACCACACTGGGCTAAGGTAGTCCCTGAGCTGAATGTAACTGGATGCTGGTAGAGTACTAGGTATTATATTGTATGTGCTTGTCCCTTTTAGTCTTCTTATCTGGACCAGAGACACTGGAGGAATGGTCAGAATAGCTCTAAACCAGAACAAGAGGTCTATTAGTAGAGTGGACATGACCATGACCTAGCCACCACAGGATACTGCCTTCCACTGGCAAGAGAAACACCTGCTTGCTTCCATCTCCCATTTCTGCTTTGGATATAATATATGGGGGGGTCAATATCTTTCAAAAGGAGATCAAGTCTACTTAATTTCCTTGGAATCCGCCCATTTTTCTCAGAACAGTTTTTGTTCCTGCAGGACGTGAATTGTTGCGGCAGAATTGCCAATGGCACTACCTGCTGTGGCAGTGGGAAGGGAAATAGCATGGTAAGCTGAACATTAAAACCTATAACCTCAATTTTCAGTATAGTATTAGAGTGCTGATTTATTAGTCACCTCTCTGGCTTTACTGTGGTACAGATATTCAGTGCTACCTGAGCTGTTTTCAGTGTCTGTCTCTTGGAAGATGCTGTGACTGGGTATGTTCTGATTAGCATGACTAAGCACCATGACAGGTTTTACAATAGAGATTCTTCTCAATCTGCAAGGTTCCTTCTGAATCTTCAAGGTGCAACTCTTCTGTGAAACAGCATGGTGACAACTGTAAACAATGTGTTACCAGATTCTGGTATATTGAAGTGATCTCTCTTTATGTGAAAAAAGATCTGAAAACCAGTTAAATCCTCAGTATGATATTTCCCAAACTTTGCAGTCTAATGATGAATTAAGTAATTTAATCTCCATTCCAATGCATTTTACAATTGGAACCTTTTGGAGTATCGGGTGGGAAAAGAAGTTATTCACGTTTTGTATACTAGTTGAGGGAAAAACAATAAGAAGGAAAACAAGGAGTTGAGGAATAAGGTAGTATGAATATAAAATTAATTTAGGAAACAGAGAATAGAATTAAATTAATTGCCAGGAAATTCCAGTGAATTTTTGTGGATTCTTTGTTGGGAAACATCCAGTGTTCCATGGAATACTCCAACAATTATGACTGCTTGGAGTTATTTCATCAAAGTAGCTTATTAATGAAAAATGTTACTGCAAAGTTCTGCAATCCTGGGATAGAAAAAAGGGGAGAAAAATATTCTGTAAAAGTTGTAATGTTCTGACTTTGCTTAGAATAGCTGAAGTATGCTTGGTTCTTTTTCAGAATGGGGGCTGCTGCGGAGGAAAAGCCAATGGTCCAGGCTGTTGCATGAATGGAAAAGAAGCCAAAGTGGTAAGGTGCCTCTCAACTATTAGTTTTTTCTTTATTTCTGATGTTTTGAAGTCTTATCTCTGGCTTGTTCTATGCCGAAGCCCAATGGTTTTAATTTAGCTGTATTTTTGCAAAGCAGTTTAGACCAATTTATATATAATGATCAGAAAAGCATACCTCAGAAAAGGTTCCTTTGATGTAATGCAACATGCCAGCATGAAAAAGATGTCACTTTTGATTGACAAGAACATATCAGTGTGTTCAGGGTAGAGCTTTCTGACCAGACATGCCTTTGGGTCAGAAAAATAGCACTGAAGAACCTTAAATGATGGATTAACTGGCATCGTTTCACTGTGTTTGCCACTCTTTACTCCATGAAATAGTAACAGGAATTTGACTAGAAAGAGGAGTGAGTTGGGGTTGTATGTGGATAGCTCATTCCCCTGTCACTAACCGTTTGTGTTTTCTCTGTGATAGACAACGATGTCCTCCAGCCTGTTCAATTCTTCTGAGTTCCAGCCACTGGACCCCACACAGGAGCCAATCTTCCCACCAGAGTTAATGGTAAGTTCGTTCAAAAAGAAATAGGATGTGATTTGCTGGCTTCATTGCTCTGCACAGGGTTTGCGTGTCTCTGCCCTAAGGAAATGGCCATGCCAAAGATGGCGCTGATAAAGGAAAATGCATAGGCATGAATCCTTCCCTGTTTCATAAAACAGAATGTGTTTAAGTCAGGGTGGCTTAAAAAATATGCAGGCCAGGTGCCTGTTCCAGCTGGCTGGCTTTTGTTTCTGCTTCTCACCATATGTGCCTCTGCTCTTAGGTTGCCTTCCTTTCCTGTCACTGCCTGTCCAGGGACAAAACAGTTGCTGATATTGAAATTTCAGTTTACTAAGTCAGATGTGAACATATATTAAATATGGAGGTATCTGAGCCTACCTCACTGTACTCCCTTTATAGTGTAGGAAGAGAAGTAGGAGCTATGGGATGGAGCTGAATAAATGTCTCAACAAGTAGACTTTCCAAAAGCATCAACTTCTCTCCTCTTAGTGTAGCAGTAGAAGTTGGTTGACTCACACTGACATTAAAAGTTAGGTGAGATTAGTTTCTCTCCATGTTTCATTCCTGGTTTTTTTTTTGATTTTCCCCTAAGCAATGCATCCCAGCCAAGAAGCTAACTCAGCATGTGGCATGTTTGCAGCTTTCTTCATATTTAGCAAACAACCGAAGTTCAGCCATTAGTTCTGCTGCTGTACTCAGCCTAAATGTATCATGAGCTACAGCATGAGTGGATTCTCATAGACCATAGCATAAGATATATTCAGCTTGAGATAGGCCACCTTTGTTTCTTCTCCAAGATGTTCTCCTGCCCAAGGGTTGACCTCATGTTGGTGTGAGTCAGACATGTCAGTCTGTTTTCTTCAGGCACTAGATGAAGGAGTTAAAAAGGGAATCAGAATCTGGCCTACCTGGTAACTAAACTTCATCAGTGCTAAAGATTGACATTTTTTGATTGAGATGAGAATGGAAACCCCATTACTTGTAAGGTGGCTGAAGTTACAGGTATCTGCCAGAACTTTGGGCAGATGGAACTTGCTGGCAGAGATCTTGCTAGAGAGATGTGGCAGCAGAATGCACCTGGCAGTATCAGGAAGGGAAAACTTTGGTCAGCATGAAAAATTCTCTCATCACTGCTAGTAGGAAGATGGGGAATGGCTAACTGCCAACAGTGTGAATATCACAGCCACCTGTCAGTAACTTGACTGAGATGAATCCTAGCCTGGCATAGGCATGGGCAGCATGTGAGCAGGGATTCTTTGCTTGATGTAGGGTCTGAGCAATATCTGAATTCACTTTGCAGACTCAGAGTAACAAACAGCAGAAGCAGCTGTGTTTCAAAGGCGAGCGTGTGATGTGGATCCAGCCTACAACTCTCGAGGAATTTGTGGCTCTCAAATCCCAGTACCCCAATGCCAAAATTGTTGTGGGGAACACAGAAGTGGGTAAGAGAGAGAGTGAATGCTCATTATGAGCAGTTGGAAAACTTTACATGGAGTATTTTGTGAGAACAGTGCAAATGTAAACCTCCTTCATGACACTGCTGTTTAATCTTCAGGCTGTGTGTAGGAACAGATTTTCTTCTCAGGTAGATTAATCTCACAGTGTGTGTTCTTCCTTGTTCTTTGCTGTGTTGGGTGAAAAAAATGCTAATCTAGACCTCTAAGTCTTTTTGTATTTTGTGGAATTTTGAGAAGAGGGGAGTGGCACAGCAAAAAATGTTCTCATAATCAAATGAATTCAGCTGTGAAACCTGCATTTTGAAGGACTTTTCATTGAGCAAACTCTTGAAACTTGAAGTCTTACTGTTTTATCACTCCAAATAGATACTTCTGCAAACATAAGTGCTGAGGAGGAGAATTCAGACACGTTTAGTAATTCTGTTATCCTGCAAAATTGGTTCAGGAAACAATCCCAAAATATTGTATGGTTCATTGTATTGATTGTTCTTTCCTGAGAGATTATGTACAACAGGTTACACAAGCGCCAAATAACGTGTTTAAGGTTATTGTAAGCCTAAAAAAGGGTCTAAAATTTCCCCATGAGAATTCTAATGTTAGTCAAAACATCATTATATTTGGTATATCTGTGTCCTTCTATAATCCATGCTACAGATGGTTGATGAACTGACTCTTTGATAGGCCTGCTGCCATTTCACTGGGAAGCAGCTAACGTCAGCTCTCTGTCACCTGTGTGTAACCAAAGGCATCTTATTTTTCCTTCAGGTATCGAGATGAGGTTAAAGAACATGTTGTATCCAGTGATAATAGCACCAACATGGATCCCTGAAATGAATGCTGTTCAGCACACTGAAACAGGTGAGCAAAAGAGGCAGAATGCCTGTGAAGTGACTGAGTGGGGACTCCATGGAATAATAAAGGCAACATGAAGGAAAATCCACAGATCAGAAACTGCTTTCTGCATGCATTACACCCTTCCCATGCAAGGAATCCAGTGAGGCATATGGAAAAAATGTGAGCTGGGGCTGTTTAGCCTGGAGAATAGGAGGCTCAGAGGTGACCTTGTCACACTCCACAACTGCCTGAAAGGAGTTTGTAGCAAAGTGTGGTTTTGTCTCTTCTCCCAGGCAACTAGTGATAGGACAAGAGGAAATGGCCTGAAGCTGCACCAGGGGAGGTTCAGGTTAGATATCAGGAGGAATTTCTTCACTGGAAGGGTGACTAAGCCTCGGAACAGGCTGCCCAGGGAGGTGATGGAGTCAACATCTCTGGAAGCATTCAAGAAAAGGCTGAATTTGGCACTTAGTTCTATGCTTTAGCTGACATGGTGGTGTTCACACAAAGGTTGGATTCAATGATCTTGCAGGCATTTTCCAACTGTAATGATTCTATGATACTATTACATTTACCTTCATGGTAGAAATGAGTCAACCTTACAAATAGATGTAATTAAGACAATGCAGTGCATGTGACCCAATGTCTGGTAGAATATTTAAAGTATGGAAACTGGAAAGGAGTTGGATTTCACTTCTCAAAGGACAAACTAATACCTATAGGAGGCCAATATTGCTAATGATACACCAAGGCAAAAGGATGCTCTGTTGCTATTATGTGTGAGACAGTACCAGCATGAGCTGTAATTTGAAGGTGAATTTTGTTCTGAGGATGTGATGTTTACATGCAGTGCATACTAAATAATCTAGTGTGACTGAATGTCTAATTAAACTCGGAGGCATCTAAGCTTTGCAGGCACAGTTATAACTGTCCTCCTGTACCTTGACATTTTGGAGAACAACAATTCTTTTCCTTTGTTTTTTTTACAGGGATCACCTTCGGTGCTGCCTGTACCCTGAGCTCAGTGGAGGAGGTGATGAGAAAAGTGGTGGCAGATCTTCCTCCTTACAAAACAGAGGTCTTCCAGGCTGTCCTGGAACAGCTGCGGTGGTTTGCAGGGCCACAGATCAGGAATGTTGCTGTAAGTGATTCAGGAGCACCAGAGACTGTAATTGAAAGCTGAGTCTGAGGAGCTGGCCTGCCTCATCTAATGTTGGTGGGCCTTACGCTTCACACACGAGAACATTTGCAAACCTCAGCAAAGAAACTAGTCACATAAACCAACTCCAGAAACTGATTGCAACATGGGTCTCAGCTGGTGTCTGTGCTACACTCGTCACAGATTTAGCAAGAAAGGGAAACATGGCAGTTGTTCAGGTCTTTCATTGCTGTTATCAGCTAGTGGGGGAAATTTAACAAAATGTATTGAGAGTGTTGGCCAGACTTCAAAGAAGTAGGTGTGCATATTTCTGCGAGCACAAATGTTGTAGTCATTGTGTTAATGCATCAGATCTGGCAAATTTTCCTCTGGTTTTGAAGGGAA